CAAGATGCCCCTAAGGATTCCCCTCAGAAGTACTGAGGAGTCCCGTCAGGATGCCCCTGAGAGGTACTCAGCATTCCTTTCAGGAGTCCTCAGGATTCCACTCATGAGTCATCAAGATTTCCCTCAGGAGTCCCCAGGATCCCGCAGGATCCCTCAGGATCTCTCAGGAACCCGCAAGACCCCGCAGGACCCCGCAGGCCCCGCAGGATCCCGCAAGATCCCTCAAGATCCCTCAGGATCCGTCAGGATTCCTCAGGATCCATCAGTTGATCCGTGAGTGGTCGGAACACGAGACGCGGTTCTGCTGAGGCTCGGAAGCGCGCTCTCAGACAACTGGTGAACGCCCCATGCTGCTGGTGAATGGTGCAATTTCGGAGTGGGTGAGGGTTGGTGGGCGTGGGTGGCTGGTGTAGACACCGTTCGGCCGGTGAAAGGTCCATTTCGCCGGTATAGACCTCTTTCTCGTCTCCTGGGGGGGAGCCCAGGTCAGAAGACCATCCCCCCCCCGTCCCGGGGAGGCCCCGAGGTGGCCTTGGGGCCCGTCTGACATTGGCGCCCACTGTCAAACGGGACCCGGGGGCCATTTGACAGTGAGGCCCACTGTCAAAACGAAGCACTGGGGGGCATTTGACAGTGGGGCCCACTGTGGCACGGGGAACTGGGTGGCCTGGGGTACCGTTTGACAGTGGCGCCCACTGTCAACCAGGACCTGGGGGCCACTTGAGAGTGGGCCCCATTATCAAACGGGGAACTGGAGGGCATTTGCCAATGGGGCTTACTCTCACACGGGGAACTGGGTGGCCTTGGGGCCCAACTAACAGTGGTGCCCACTGCCAACCAGGGACCTGGGGGTCATTTGACAGTGGGGCCCACTGTCAAACGGAGAGCTGGAGTCCATTCGATCATGGGACCCACTGTCTGGCTGGAAACTGGGTGGCCCTGGGGCCCGTCTGGCAAGTGGCGCCCACTGTCAGCCGGAGACCTGGGGGCCATTTGACCGTGGGGCTTATTTTCGGGGAAGGACAGACCTGCCTTTAGTAAAACGTGGTTTAGTGAAAACGACCTGAGGCCCAAACCTGGCGGGCGCGAGCCTGGAAGATAGCGGCCGCGGCGCCCTCTCGAGAACCGAAAACGGACAATTCCCTAATCGACGTGTCACTGTTGGGGGTTCTGTCCGCCCCCGATATGTTCAAACGGGTAAATGGCTGGCCTCGAAGTCCATCTGACAGCGGCGACCACCGTCATCTGGGCGCCTGGGGCCATTTGACAGTGGGGCCCGCGGTCCAGCGGGGAGGAGGAGGAGGAGGAGAAGGAGGAGGAGGAGGAGGAGAAGGAGGAGTGGGGGGAGGGAGTAGTAGGAGGAGGAGGAGGAGGGAGAAGGAGGAGGAGGGAGTAGATCGGCGATCGCTGTTCATCTGGGCGCCTGGGGGCCACTTGACCGTGGGGCCAGCCGCGATCCGAGCCGGGAACCGGGGGGCCCTCGACATGCGGGGCCCACTGTTCACACAGCCTCCTCCTCCTCCTCTCCTCCCTCCTCCTCCTCCCCTCCTCTCCTCCTCCTCCTCCCTACCTCTCCTCCTCCTCCATTCCTCCGCCTCCTCCCCTCCTCCCCTCCTCCCTCCTCCCTCCCTCCCTCCTCCCTCCTCCTCCTCTCTCCTCCCTCCTCCCTCCCTCCTCCCTCCTCCCTGGGCCTCCCCTTCGTCGGGGCACCCCCCTCACTCTTGTCTGCTGCTGCGGGGTGCTGCGTACCGTCGGGGCGTTGACCTAAGGAACCCCACATAAGGAACGAGGCCCCCACTTCCATAAGTTCCACTTCGAATTCCGATCGACAACCTAAGGAAAACCTAAGGCGAACTGCAGCACAACTAAGGAACACTGAGCCCCTCCCAAACGGAAAAGGTTCCTTCTTCAGCGCCCCGACTGTATTTTAAAATGCCTCAGATCCGCTCCAAGGTGGCTCCATGTGACCACGGGCTTGCAGAGGAAGCCCCCCAAGAAGCTGCCCGACAGGGCCCAAGAGGCTCCAAAAGGGCCCGACGAAGGGCTCCGGAGCGTTGGCGTCCTCGTCGTCGCCGTCGCCGCCGCCGTCGTCGTCGTCGTCGTCGCCGCCGCCGCCGTCGTCGTCGTCGTCGTCGTCGTCGTCGTCGTCGTCGTCGTCGTCGTCGTCGTCGTCGTCGTCGTCGTCGTCGTCGTCGTCGTCGTCGTCGTCGTCGTCGTCGTCGTCGTCGTCGTCGTCGTCGTCGTCGTCGTCGTCGTCCCCCCTCAGGGTCTCTGCGGCACTGGCCGTAAGGCTTTCGCAATCAGAGCAGCGGCGGTCAAATATCAACCTCGCCATAACAAATAAGGATCCGAAAAAGTACGTACGCGTCCAACCACGTACACGAACACGGCCCCCCAGTCCGCGAGACCAGCCGTGTTATACGAACGTTCGGGCAATGCGTACTCTCGAAACCAACGTGGATTTATGTTTGTGTGCGTCCTTCTCTCGCTCCTGGGTGAAGGGATCGAAGGGGTGCTCCTCCCCCTCCTCCTCCTCCTCCCCCTCCCCCTCCCCCTCCTCCTCCCCCCCCTCCACCTCCTCCTTCCTCATTTCCTCCCCTCCTCCTCTCCTCCTCTCCTTCCCCCTCCCCCCCCTCCCCCTCCCCCTCCCCCTCCTCCTCTCACTACTCCTCCTCTCCTCCTCCTCCACCTCACGCTGCTCCCTTCCTGGCCGCAGCGGGGTCTCTCTCTCTCTCTCTCTTTCTCTCTCTCTTCTCTCTTTCCCTCTCTTTCTCTGTCTCTGTCTCTCTCTCTCTCTCTCTCTCTCTCTCTTCTGGCGGGAGACGAGGGGTGCGGGCCTGGTTGGAGGAGGGAGAGAGCTAGGAGAAGGAGGACGACGAGGAGCAGGAGGGGAGCTAGGAGGGAGGAGGACGGAGGGGGAGGAGGAAGAGGAGGGGGAGCAGAAGCGGGAGCAGGCTCAGGAGGAGAGATGACGAATATTAAGAGGAGGAGCGGGGTGAGGGAGAATGAAAAGGAAAGCGGAGGTAGGGAAGAGAAGATGGTTACCAGGAGGCAGGTAGGAGGAGGAGGAGCAGGAATGATGATGTTGTTGATGATGATTATGATGATGCCGATGCTGATGCTGATGATAATCGTGATCATGATGATAGTGGTGATGATGCTGCTAAACATGATGAAAGCGATGAGGATGATGACGACGGTGATGGTGACGATGGTGACGATGACGATGCCGACGGCGATGACGATGCTGCTGCTGATGCTGGTGCTGATGATGATGCTGAAACTGATGATGATGATGATGATGATGATGATGACGATGATGATGATGCTGATGATGATGCTGCTGATGACGATGACGATGACGATGACGATGACGATGACGATGATGATGATGATGATGATGATGATGATGATGATGATGATGATGATGAGCATGATGATACAGAGACGGGAGGAAAAATAAGTGAGGATACAGGACCGAGACCGGGAGTGAAGGAGGTGGGACACATCCCTTCAGCCCTCTGAAAATGAGTGGCTGGGGGCGTGTCTTCTTCTAGCTTCCCTTCTTCCCCCTTCGGGCAAACACCCCTCCCCCTGCCCCCACCAAGCCTGGACCTGAACGGTGCCCCGCGACCGATTGGAGCGTCAAATATGGCCTCAGAGTCAGAGAGCCCAGGATGACCTCCAGGACGGCTCAAGACAACTCCAGATGTCTCAAGATCGCCTCCAACATGACGCAAGAGGCCCCAAGACCGCGCCAAGACGGCTCAAAGTGGCTTGCAAGCACCCCCAAGGGAACACCCAAGAGGCCAACATCGCTTCAACACATATGGAACATCACTGTGCGTGTGTGTGTGTGTGTGTGTGTGCATTCTCGCATTTTCGCTTCCGATGGCCCCCCCGAGGCACCAAGGTGGCTCAAAGATGGCCCAAGACGGGTCCAAGAGAGGCCCAAGAGGGCTCCAAGACGGCCCCAAGAGCGCCCAAGAACGCTCCACGAGCGACCCACGAGGTCGTCAGGCGGCGAATCTGGAGGCCCTGAAGCGGCGGCGCACATGGAGGCTCACCTGCCTCTGATCTTACCAGCCTGGAACATATCCCTATCCCTATGCTGGGCGCCTCCTCATCACGATGCCAATCGGAGGGATTCCCTTACTTTTTGATGGCGAATCCCTAAGATTGTCATCGCCTTTTGGCGTGTCAATCTTAGGGATAGGGATACGTTCGAGGCTGGTAAGGATCGATATCCTCCGAGGCTGGTAAGATGGTGCGAAGAGAGCCTTCGAGGCCCTCAGGGAGGGCCGCAGGATGGCCCCAAGAGGGCCCCACGAGGGTCGCGCGAGGCCCCCAAGAAGCTCCCACAAGGGCCCCCAAGAAGATCACACATACCCCCCCCCTCCCCAAGGAGCCTCCAACCTATCCTCCTCCTCCTCCTCCTCCTCCTCCTCCTCCTCCTCCTCCTCCTCCTCCTCCTCCTCCTCCTCCTCCTCCTCCTCCTATGCTTAGCGCGCTTGCCGTTTCATCCAATTGTCTAGTATGTCGCACAACTTCTGCCAACGCACCTATGCTGTGCATGGCGTCTGTCTGTCTGTCTGTACCCAAGGAGCCCCCAACAAGCTCCCCAGAGCCACCCAAGTCCTCGAGAACCTCCCAGGGGCCGCCAAGAGACCCGCCCGACTGCCCCACGATGCCTACGAGCACCGAGAGCGCCGCGAGAGACGAGCACTTGGCCTCAGGGGCATCCGAGAGGCCTCAGACACCCCCCGTGCTCGTCTCCCCGTTTCTACTCCTCCCCATCTGCCTGCTCCGGGTCCTTTTCCTTCCCACCCCATCCGTCCTCCTGCGCAGAGCGAGGACGGCTGCCCTGATCTGCTCCTGAGCTTCCGTGGTCACCTCAACTCGTCACTACTCGCAGACGTGTTCTGTGCTTTTCCTACTGGATGGCTTTGCGATGGCCACCAAAGGGGTTCAGATACCTATTTTCAGCTCGTTCCGTAGCCACTCGTCATATTAATCTCCCATTCCTGTTGTTTCCTTTACTCGGATGGCCTGGTGGGGATCACGCGCCACGTCAACAAATCGAGGCCGACTGAAGTTTGGGAGGAAGAAAGGAGGGAAGAGCCGAAGAGGAGAGAACAGAAGAGGAAGAAGGGCAGAAACTGGAGGGAAGGAGGAAGGAGAGTGATGATGATCATGATGATGATGATGATGATGATGATGATGATGATGATGTTGATGATGATGATGATGATGATGATGATGATGATGATGATGATACTGATGATACTGATGATGATAAGTATGATGGTGATGATGATGCTGATGATGCTGCTGATGATGATAGTGATGAGGCTGCTGCTGCTGATGATGATGATACTGATTATGCTGCTGATGATGCTGATGATAATGATGATGCTGATGCTGATGATGGGGAGGAGGCATCGCGTCTCAGAAAGATGATGAGGAGGACTAGGAGGACGCGGTTGAAGAAGGGAAGAGGACAGAGCGAGCGAGAAGCAAAGACAGATGAGTGCAGGAGGGAGGAGGAGGAGGAGGAGGACAAAGAGAAGGATTCTGATGAGGACGAGCGAGGGGGAATAATCAGGGGGAGGGAAGATGAAGGTTGGGAGAAGGGTAAGGGGGAGGAGGAGGAGGAGGAGAAGGAGGAGGAGGAGGAGGAGGAGGAGGAGGAGGAAAAAGAGGAGGGCCAGGAGGAGGACGAAGAGAGCACAGGAGAGACGAGGGAGGAAGGAGGAGGACGGAGATGGACGAGGGAGGGGGGGGGAGATGGAGGAAGCAGCAAGAGGAGGATGAGGACGAAAGAGGCTCGGCCGCCCGCTGGACCGCGACGGAGCCAGGCCGGGGGAGCCTGATCTGGTGGTTGGCCTCCTCCGCCGTCCAGTTGTTCCCCTGGGGCAGGCCGATCATCGCGAGCGCGCTCCTGCGGGGCCATCATCCTCGACCTCGTCCTGGCCCTCGCCCTCATCCTCATCGCCATCGACCTCGGCATCGTTCTCGCCCTCCTTCTGGTCCTCCTTGTCCTTCCCCTCCTCCTCGCCATCGTCCTCGACCTCGCCCTCGCCCTCGTCCTCGTCATCCTCCTCCCCTTGCCCTTGCCCTTACCCTTCCCCTCCCTCCTCCTGCTCCCGCTCCCTGCTGCTCGTCCTCCTCCAGTTCCCGTCCATCCCTCCTCTGGCCCCTCTTTCCTCCCAACCCTATTAGGACGCCTCCAAGAGCGCCCAACGACCCAAAGACCGCCCTAAGATGATCAAATACAGTGCGCTCTGGTCCTGGGGGGGATGCTAATCGGTGCCGCTCCCTTCGCAAAAAAGCCAGCAAATCCGGGCGCAGGACCCAGCCATACGACACGTCGAAAACCGTAGGACAGGTGAGACGAAGCAGGGAGGAACTCCCCATGAGGCCACGAAGCGTGAGAGGAATGTGCCGATATGGTCCAGGGGACGCGTGCGCCGAGTTGGGCGCGGGTACGCCATGCGGGCCCTGCCGCTGGGGCACTTGATGGAGCCCCCTATGGGGCAACGCGACGCGTGCAGGGTGTGGCCGAATGGGGACCGGTTGCGCCATGCGAGCACTGCCGCTGGGGCCGTCGGTGGAGCTCCCTTCGGGGCAACGAAACGCGCACGTAAGGGGTGTGCCAAGTTGGGCGCGGGTGCGCCATGCGGGCCCTGCCGCTGGCGCCTTCGGTGGAGCAACCATACGGGGCCACGAACAGTGTGAGGCGTGTGCCGAATTTGGGGGCGGGTGCGCCGTGCGAGCCCAGCCGCTGGGGCCTGCGGTGGAGCCCCCCGAAACGGTGAAAGCTCGAACGACGAGGAGGATCAGGCGGGAGTGACGCGGGGCGCTGTCTCTTCAAAGCGGGGGCCCAACACACCATGGTTGGGACACCCGCGCAGAAACGTGGCGGGCGTGCCGAAGCGGGGGCGGGTGCGCCGTGCGAGCCCTGCCGCCGGGGGGCACCAGACGGAGCTCCCTGTGGGGCCGCGCGGCGCGTGACCCGCCTGCCGAATAGCGGCGGGCACGCCCGGCGAGCCCTGCCGCTGGGGCCGTCCGAGTCGGTGGAGCTCCCTGCGGGGCCCCGAAACAGGTGAGGGGTGTGCCGACTTGGGGGCGGGGGCGACATGCGAGCCCTGCCGCTGGGGCCTCTGGTGGAGTGCCCTTTGGGGCCGCGAAGCGTGCGAGGCGGCTGCCGGATCGGATGCGGGTGCGCCATGCGGGCTGTGCCACTGGGCCGTCGGTGGAGTTCCCTATGGGAGAACAAAGCGTGTGAGGGGTGTGGCGGGATGCGGCAGGCAGAAGCAGGGATGGGAGAAGGTGTGTCGTTTGCATCTGCGATCCCATAAGGCCGAAACGGTGAAAGCTCGAAAGACGAGGAGGATCAGGCGGGAGTGACGCGGGGCGCTGTCTCTTCAAAGCGGGGGCCCAACACAGCATGGTTGGGACACCCGCGCAGAAACGTGGTTGGCAGAGTTTGGCATCTCGGGGGGCATCGTTTGGAGGCTCTTGGGCCGAGATGGCTTCACTGTGGCGTTCGACAACTCAGCGTGGCATGCGATGTGGCGCAATATGGTTTAAGACAGCTCCATCTGTCCTCAGACATGCACTCATGCCACGCAGCCGCTCCAAGACTGCTCCGAATAGCTACAGAAAGGCCCAAATGGACCCCAAGGAGGCTACAGTCATTCAAACACCAACGAAATGATTTAATATCCCTGTGGCGTCTCACCCTTTCAGTTCAGATGGGCTTCTGAAGCCTTAGGATGGCCCCAACATCGGCCGAGAGCCCAAAGCGGGCCGAAAAGATGCTCAACACGTCCCGTAAGAAAGGTCGCCCAATTTAGCGCCAAGACCGTCCCCATATTGCCCCCAGAAGCAATGCTTCAGGCTTTGATGGGACAAGACGAATCCCAGCTGCCCTCTGGGCGTAGGTGGTTCAACGGACTTTGTCTTCATTATATGCCAGAACCCCTCCTTCCCATGCTCGGGTGAGGGGCTGATCACTGCTCCTCATTAAGAAGCGCTCCCTCCCCAAACGGACTGTGGGTCGAACGCCCCCCCCCGACACCATCCGTGCCAAAAAACAATACAGAATGCAATCTGCCTCCAAATCTCGAGCATGCGCGGGCACGCCGCGACAATCCTCGGAACCAATTAGCGAACACTCATGCCACATTTCTCCGTCAACGCCTCCTCCCCCCCCCCAATGTTCAAAGTTGGCGGTGGGTCTGATGAGGCGAGGGTAAGCAAAACGCACTCTGCCCCCAAATTCAAACCATGCGCAACCAACCCGATGCGGCTCCCTCCCACCAGCCCTGTCAAAAAGAACAATACGCGGTACACTTTGGGGCAAAGTCTGGATTCACGCTCGTGAGGCCCGCGGGCACTTTGCATAGTTGTTCGGCAGGGACGGCGGGGGCTACCATCCCTGACAAACATATAATGCAGCATGCACATAACGGCTCAATGTGGATAGTGCGCGGCCACCCCGCGATCATTGTCAAGTGGATGTTGTCAGGGACGGCGGGGGTGGTGGCGTATGGCCTGCTGTGCGCAGGCCAACCAGACACAATGGTGGGCATTGGTTTTCGACATGGAAAGTGGAGGCCGGCGACAGTTTCCCGATGTGTACTGTCACGTGCGCAGGCGCATCTGGCACAATCTGCGCGTGCCCTGGACGTGGCGCACCTGGCGCGGCTGGAGGGAACATCTGGCGCACTAAGCGTGCCTGGCACGCTCGGGCCCCAGGGATGCCTGGCGCGCGCGTGGCGCGCCTCGCCCCAGCGTCGCGCACATGGGCTCGTGTTACTCATGTGCTGGAAAGGCGGGTGGGAGTGAGCTAGACAACTTGCTATCTGGAGGGTGTCTTGATCATTGTTCCCTACAAATATACACCCCTCTCCCCCAAACGACTGGGAGCCAACCCGAATCCATGAAGGCACCCGCCCCACCATCCCTTGTTAAACACATTACAAAACACACTCGGCCTCAAAATCCGGAGCATGCGCAGCGAACCCGATGCGGCCTCCCCCCACCATCCCTGTCAAACAACAATACAGAATACACTTGGCGGCGGCAGCGGCGGCGGCGGCTGCGGGGGGGGCAGCGGCTGCGGCGGCTGCGGCGGTGGCGGAGGCGGTGGCGGCGGCGGCGGGGGCGGCTGCGGCAGTGGCGGTCGGCGGTGGCGGCGGTGGCGGCGGCGGCGGCTGCGGCGGCAGCGGCTGCGGCGGCGGGCGGCGCGCGGTGGGTGGCGGCGCGGCGGCGGCGGACAGCCGCCGGCGGCGGCGGCGCGGGCGGCGGCGGCGGGCGGCGGCGGCGGCGGCGGCGGAGGCGGCGGCGGCGGCGGATTCGCCCCCAGTAGCTGCCCATCCAAAGACGACTGCTGAATATGCTGCGGCTCGGGCCAGGCTCGGGTGCTACGTATGTGTTGGGAGGGCGGGTGGGAGTGAGCGAGACGGCTTGCGGGCGGGGAGGGCGTCTTGATCACTGTTCCCTATTAATAAACACCCCCTCCCCCAGGCGACTGGGGGCCAACCCGAGTCCATGCCGACCCCCCCCACCATCCCTTGTAAAAAACAATACAAAACACACTCTGCCTCCAAATTCGGAACATGCGCAGCCAACCCGATGCGGCCCCCCCCACCATCCCTGTCAAAAAACAATACTGAGTACACTAGGCGGAGGCGGCGGCTGCGGCTGCGGCGGCTGCGGCGGCGGCGGCTGCGGCTGCTGCGGCGGCGGCGGAGGCGGCGGGGGCGTGGGCGGGGCGGCGGCGGAGGCGGCTGCGGCGGCGGCGGCGGCGGCGGTGACGGCAACGGCTGCGGCTGCGGCGGCGGTTAGGCAGCGGGTGGCGGCGGCGGCGCGGAGGGCGGCGGCGGCGGCGGCGGCGGCGGCAGCGGCGGCGCGGCGGCGCGGCGGCGGCGCGGCGGGGGCGGCGGCGGCGGGCAGCGGCGGCGGCGGCGGCGGCGGCGGCGGCGGCTGAGGCGGCGGCGGCGGATTCGCCCCCAGTAGCTGCCCATCCAAAGACGACTGCTGAATATGCTGAGGCTCGGGCCATACTCGGGTGCTACGTATGTGTTGGGAGGGCGGGTGGGAGTGAGCGAGACGGCTTGCGGGCGGGGAGGGGGTAACTTGACCCCTCCCCCTCCCCCCTCCCCTGGGCTTGGGAAGGGGTGGTCGCGGGTAGTTAGAGCGCCCAAGATGGCTCCAAGAAGGCCTCCGAGAACCCAAGATGGCCTCCAAGATGGCCTCCCAAATGGCTCAAGATACCTCAATATACTCAAGAAAGCATCCGGCACACATCCAATATGCCTCAAGACATCCCCAAGACGGTTCCAAGTGCCCTCCCAATTTGAGTTATGGGGTCCAAGACGGCCCCAAGAGCCCCTCAAGAGCACCCAAAAGAGCTCCAAGAGGGGCCCAAGAAGGGCCTTAGACGCCCCAGAAGAACTCCAAGAGGGCCCCAAGAGTACCCCAAAGGGCTCCGCGAGGACAAGAGGGTCCCGAACGCTCCACAAATGCAATCAACATAATTACAAAATAGTTTGAAACAACCTTAGAATGAACTATCCGCGAAGGTCATGGCTGACCACTACCGTCGACGTCGTCGCCCTCCTGGTAGTCCTCGTGCATGTCGTTGTCGTCGCCCCCTTTCTCCTCCACCCTCCTCCTGCTCCGCCTCGCACTCCTCCTTCGCAGACGACAACACTCGCCGACCCCACGGTATACACTGTGGGCAGAACGCTCCCCTTACCCTCAGTATGCCAACACAACCTAGCGGTTGCGGTTGCGCGCCCGCGGGCAGGTCGAAATGTGGCGCCCAGTTGCGGTTGCGGTTGCGCGCCCGCGGGCAGGTCGAAATGCGTCGCCCAGTTGCGCTTGCGCGACCGCGGGCGGGTTGAAATGTGTCGCCCAGGTGAGAGAACGGTTGCGCGCCCGCGGGCGGGTTGAAATGTGTCGCCCATTTGCGGTTGCTTTTGCGCGCCCGCGGGCGGGTCGAAATGTGGCGCCCAGGTGCAAGTCAGAGGCGCCACCAAGTAAACAACCGCCTCATCCCACAGTTCCCCTTATAACATAACATTGCTCGGCTGGGGGCCTGCTGGTCTCGTGCACGTAACACTGCACGATCTCCTTGCGGTAGACAGTGGTCACGCCAGGGAACGAGGGCGAGATCTCCTCCTCCTCGTACACCTGGGGCGAGCGAGACGAGGCGGAAACAACAGAGCTGAGCCGAGGTGCCTGCATCTCCAGCGTTCTAAAGTCGGTGACGTCACACCTGGATCCTCCAACATCCAGTCATGGGGCCACTGGCCCTCAGGGCAAGACGAAACGAGGAGCGGAGACATGATAGAAAGACAAGAAGAAACGTGCAGCAGTGGACGCGTACGGCCATCTCCTGGTCCTGAACCGTTCGCGAGAGGAGGAGGGGGAGGGGGAGGAGGAGGAGGAGGAGGAGGAGGAGGAGGAGGAGGAGGAGGAGGAGGAGGAGGAGAAGGAGAAGGAGGAGGAGGAGGAAGGGGAGGGGGAGAGGAGGAGGTAGGGGGGAGGGGGAGGAGAGAAGGAGGAGGAGGAGGAGGGGGAGGAGGAGGAGGAGGAGGAGGAGGAGGAGGAGGAGGAGCAGGAGGAGGAGGAGGGGGAGGAGGAGGAGGAGGAGGAGGAGGAGGAGGAGGAGGAGGAGGAGGAGGAGGAGGAGGAGGAGGAGGAGGAGGAGGAGGAGGAGGAGGAGGAGGAGGGGGAGGAGGAGGAGGAGGAGGAGGAGGAGGGAGGAGGAGGAGGAGGAGGAGGAGAGGAGCAGGAGGAGGAGGAGGAGGAGGAGGAGGAGGAGGAGGAGGAGGAGGAGGGGGAGGAGGAGGAGGAGGAGGAGGAGGGGGAGGAGGAGGAGGAGGGGAGGAGGAGGAGGAGGAGGAGGAGGAGGAGGGGAGGAGGAGGAGGAGGGAGGAGGAGGAGGAGGGGGGAGGAGGGAGGAGGAGGAGGAGGAGGAGGGGGAGGGGGAGGGGGGAGGTGAGCCTCGTTGGCCCCCCCCCCCCGTTTGCCACGCGGTGCCCCGTGCCGAAGTCCCCACCCCCCCCCCCTGGGCTCCCTGGGCCGCCCTGCCGTGCCTCCCTGAGGCTCTCGAGGGCTCTCCACGGCTGCCAAGGGGGGCCCCGGATGCCCTCTTGGGCAGTCTTTGGGGTCTCCCGAGGCTCGCTTTGGTCGTCTTGGGGCTCTCGAGGGCCGTCTTCGGCAGTCTCGGGTCCACTTTTGGCGGTCTGGGAGTCTCTTGGGGCCATCGTGCGGCGGTGTTGCGGCTCTCTTGGGCCGCTTTCGGGCCTGATCGGGCCTTTTTGAATCCGTCCGGATGCTCTCTTGGGCCAGTTTGGGGCTTTCTTGAGACTGCATTCAGGGGCCGTCTAGGGGCCCTCTTGGGATGTGCAGTGCCATTTCGGGTTGGCCCTTCGAAGACCACAAAGTGGAGCGATATTTGACCAAGCATCGAGGGACGCCCAAATATGGGAAAGCCAATCGGCATCCACGTGTTGGACCCCCCTCCCTGGCGCGCGGAGCGCGCCAGGGGCGGCGCCGGAGGCGCCGCTGGGGGGCCCCAGCGCCGATCCGAGAAATCCGCGCGGACCTCCGAGTTGTTATGTTTATGCCACTTTTTATTCCCCTAAGGAAGGCCAGCAAGGCCGCCAAAATAGCCCAACATGCTCTCATAAGCCCCCCGCCGGCCAAGAAGCGCCCAACCAGTCCCCATGGGCATCCAAGAGGCTCCAATCTCCCCTCCCAGGAGGATCTCCAGGAGGACCTCAAGGGGCACAACACGTGGATGCCTATTGGCTTTCCCATATTTGGGCGTCCCTCGATGCTTGGTCAAATATCGCTCCACTTTGTGGTCTTCGAAGGGCCAACCCGAAATGGCACTGCACATCCCAAGAGGGCCCCTAGACGGCCCCTAAATGCAGCCTCAAGAAAGCCCCAAACTGGCCCAAGAGAGCATCCGGACGGATTCAAAAAGGCCCGATCAGGCCTGAAAGCGGCCCAAGAGAGCCGCAACACCGACGCACGATGGCCCCAAGAGACTCCCAAACCGCCAAAAGTGGACCCGAGACTGCCGAAGACGGCCCTCGAGAGCCCCAAGACGACCAAAGCGAGCCTCGGGAGACCCCAAAGACTGCCCCACAGAAGCCCGAGTTCGCCGACGCGGCTGGTGGCGGGTTGGCGGCAGACGCCTGCGTAGCAACACAGCTGAATCTGATGTGTCTCAAGCCGTCGGAGGTCTGAGGAGGAGGTATTTGCAGCAGAGTCGAATCGATGAGTCGAACCGATGCGCCATCGAAAGCGAACCGAATCGAATCGGAGGAATCGGCACGAGCCCTGGTGTCGGTCGAGGGCCCCCCCGCCGCTGGCCGGGCTGCGAGCGGGGCCTCCTTGCAGTCGAAGTCGAAGTGTATCGCGACGCTGTCCATGTTCAGGAAGTCCTGCGGCTCGGGGCCGCGGGAGGCCAAGCGGGGCGGCGCTGCGCAGAAGGCTCCTGCGCACCACAACCACCACCGCCGTGCCTGGCCAGAACCATCCCGGGCACCGGCATGGCCCAGGCGCCCTTCTGGAGGAGACCCCGGAGGTCTTCCCAGACAAGCGACAACTCGTGCGTGCCCCCGGGAAGTCTCCTCGGATCCTCTCCTGCAGGGACGGTGCTTCTTCCCGCGAATCGTTTTTGACGGTCGCAGGGATCGGCGAGGCCCCCCGGAAGCCGAGAACGGCAAAAGACTTCCCGTCGTGATATCTTCACGACGCGATTATGTCTTCGGGAGCGGCCAAGAGGGGGGTGTCCAAGAGAGGGGGTGCAACTCATGACCGGCGGCATGTGCGCGGCCCGTGGGGGGAGGGGGGGGGCAGGGACGAAATGAAATAAGGAGAGGCGCCACGAAATCTGGGGAAACAACATGGCCCCCGCCATGAGATCCACCTACCCTAGTCATCTAAAACAGGGCTAGGATCGGGATAAATCGCTCCAGAGCGTTCTGGAGCGCTCTCAGAGCGTTCCGGAACGCTCTGGAGCGGCCGCGGCGCCCGATACATCCTCCAAACCCGCGATTCTCAGAGATTTCGAGTTATCCCGATCCGATTTTGTCCCGATCTTCGCGTCGTTTTACCTAGTCATCACCCCCCTCTTTGGCGCCCCCGATGTCTGGGAATGCACCATCCTGGCCCCGGGTCACCGCTGGTGGTGTGTGGCCGGTGGTGCGCGCCGCCGTGGCCGCTGCTTCCCCCCTGCCGCCTGCCTTCCCTCGCCCTCCCCCCCTCCTTTTCTGAGGCAAGCCGCGGGAGCGATCGCTCGCCCCCCCCCCCCCTCCTCCTCCCCCTCCTCCTCCTCCTCCTCCTCCTCGTCCTCCTCCTCCTCCTCCTCCTCCTCCTCCTCCTCCCTCTCCTCCTCCCCTTGGCGCCCTCCTCGTCGTCGTCGGTCGTTGTTTCCTCGCCTGCCGCTGGGCCCCTGCGCAATGGTGCGAAGGGCCCCGGCCTTTCAGAAGCTGCCTGAGCCTTCCCCGAAGACACAGAGTACCTTTCATCATCGAGCGCGTTCCACCACTCGCAAAGTGTCTACCCGCAAACTTCCGAAACACATTCTTGTTTGTTTCGATGAAATTTACCGTGGATCCCCCTCGTCGGCCGCCTTCTGCGCAAGGCTCTGGCTCGCCAGCGCGCGCGGACGGTCTCGCGACGCTCGTCGGCGGCTCGCTCGGCGCGGCCGGCCCCGTCTCGGTGGGCCGGCCGCTTGCCGCTGCGCTCGACTATGGATAGCGGCGGTCGCCGACCTGGGGAGCTACGACAGGAGCCGAAACCGCTGCGTGGACGTATACCTTCGGAGATCCGCGCGGATATATCTTGCAACGGCGCAGGACCTGAGCAGGGACCGAGCATCCCGGCATTCCTATAGGCCTACCTCAGACTGTTCTCAGACCCCCAAGAAGGTTCTGAGAACAAAAGACATGTTCTTAGAACATAAGCCCGATGTGCTAAACCAAGACAGTCCCCGCCAGAATGATTCTGGGAACATTTCGTTGAAACCACAACAGGTTCTTAGAACATTCTTCGGTAGGCCCAAAGGCGAGCCCAGACGCTTCGCCACTGCTTGAAGGACCCCACTCCAAGGCGTGCGGACCGCGCCGGGTGCGGCGCCAGAGGCTCCGCAAGGAGAATTGGCGCCGCGACACGCGGAACCGAAGTTCCCGCGCGTTCCCATCGGGAAAGAACTGCCCTCAACCGGCCAGCGAAACAGTACCCCCCACAGAGCTATGCCCATCCCGCTGGCCAGGGGGAGGCTCGAAGATGGAGATCGCGGTTTGTGAATGTTTTCTTATTCGGCGTTTCGACAATGGGCGGAGGAGAGTGGGGGAAAGGGGGGGTGTCTGGCTCCGGACCTCTGCTTGATGTGACTGTTTGCAGTAATGCGTCCAATGGGAGAGGCGCAAAAACCAGCCAAGATCTACTCCATGGGGGGGGAGGGGGTGCGAGGGCCCGCGCCGATCGGCAGAACAATGAGTAAGAGAACGATCAATTGTGGACGTTCTTCGTCCTGTTTGGGCCTATGCTGGCGTCCCCCTCGCGACGGCTGTCTCCGGCTCGGAGTCTAGCCCCAACGCGCCCCTGGAGGTCCTGGTGAAGATATTTGAAACCAGAGCCCATACTCCAGACGTGTGGAACATGAGGGCGACCTTCTTTTTTGTTTGTGCATGCTCGGCCTCCAGAATCTCGGGAACGGCCAAAAGAGGGGTGTCCAGGAGGGGGGGGTGCAAATCATGACCGGCGGCATGTGCGCGGCCCAGCGGGGGGGGCAGGGGCGTAACGAAATAAGAAGAGGCGCCGTGAAATCTGGGGAGATATCATGGCCCACGCCATGATATCCCCCCCCCCCCCCCTAATCATCACCCCCCTCTTTTCCGCCCCCGAAGAGTCTGGCGGCAAGCCCCGGGACCATCAACTACGTCTCGGGATGAGAACACGGCCACGGGGAGCAGGACGTAGGAGGGCTGCGATTCCTGGGTCTCCCATGCCGCCAGAGCTCACGTGGCGCAGCAGGAAGGGGAGAAAGAGGAGAAGGAGGAGAAGGAGAAGGACTAGAGAGAGAGAGAGATTTGGTTGCCCCCCCAAGATCATACATCTCGTCTTAGCTCAGCTTAGCTTAGCGCAGCATTAGCATAGCATAGCATAGCATATAATAGCGCAGCATAGCATAGCATAGCGCAGCATAGCATAGCATAGCATAGCATAGCGCAGCATATCACATCATAACTTAGCTTAGCATCGCACAGCGCAGCATCGCATCGCATACCATAGCATATCATAGCGCAACATAACATAGCATATATCATCATAACATTGCTGCTGCTGCTGATACTACTACTACTACTACTACTGCTACTACTACTACTACTACTACTACTACGACTACTACTACTACTACTCCTACTACTAGTACTACTGGTACTACTACTACTACTACTACTACTACTACTACTACTACTACTACTACTACTACTACTACTACTACTACTACTACTACTACTACTACTACTACTACTACTACTACTACTACTACTACTACTACTACTACTACTACTACGACTACTACTACTACTACTACTACTACTACTACTACTACTACTACTACTACTACTACTACTACTACTACTACTACGACTACTACTACTATACTACTACTACTACTACTACTACTACTACTACTACTGTACTAGTACTAGTACTAGTACTAGTAGTACTAGTACTAGTACTACTACTACTACTACTACTACTACTACTACTACTACTACTACTACTATTACCGCTACTGCTACAATTGCGACGATGAGGAAAAGGAGGAGGAGGACGGCGTTTACCGTTACTACTAATATTGCTCTCCTCGGGGCGTCAACTCCTCGGGGCTCCTCTGGGATAATTTTCAAGTTCAGCGTAGGGAGGGAGCCTGTTGAGTATCGGTTGGTGTGTTGGAGACGGAGGGTGTTGAGTACTGGATGGTGTGCTGGAGACGGAAGGAGTTGAGTAGAATATCATTTTCAAGTTCAGCTTGGGGAGGGAGCCGGTTGAGTACCTGGTGGTGTGTTGGAGACGGAGGGAGTTGAGTAGTAGTTTATTTTGAAGCTCAGCTTGGGGAGAGAGCTCGTTGCTCCCCTGCCGCCTCCCCCCCCCAGCACCTGTCTCTGTGCCTCCCGAATCAAGACAGAACGCGCGCGTGCACCGTGTTTGGCGCCACCGATGCACGGAAACGCCGTGTTTTTGTTTTTTTTGGTCTGCGAAGCCACGAAACATTGTGTATTTTTGTTTTTTTGATTTTTTGGGTTTGCAAGCCCCCGTGCCCGCCGCGGCCTCCCTCCCAGCACCCCTCTCTCTCTGCCTCTCAAAACAAAAAAAACAAAAAAACAAAACTACACAGTGTTTCGTGGCTTCGCAAACCAAAAAAAACAAAACAACCAAACATACGCAGCGTTTCCTTGCACCGGTGGCGCCAAGCATTGCGTAGAGAGAGAGAGAGAGAAAGAGATATAGAGAGAGAGAGAGAGAGAAAAAAAGAGAGAGAGAGAGATAGATAGGCAGAGAGAGACAGAGAGAGAGAGAGGCAGAGAGAGAGAGAGAAAGAGAGAGAGAGAGAGAAAGAGAGAAAAAGGAAAAGAAGCAGTCGAGGATGAGGAGACGAAAAGGTATGATCTTGGGGGGGGGGGCGACCATATATATATATATATATAGAAAGGTCAGGAGAGAGAGAGAGAGAGAGAGAGAAAGAGATGACGAGAGGAGGGAGGGAGGGATGGAGGGATGGAGGAAGGTAGGGAGGGAGGGAGAACGAGAGAGAGAGAGGAGAACGAGAGAGAGAAAGAGAGCAAGGAAGACACAACATTACTTGGCGAAGGATCCCACCAAATGAAGCGTACCGCAGTTGTGAGGATCGTCTTCGGTGGAACTCCCTATGGGGCCACGGTGCGTGTGAGGGGCGTGCCGATTTAGGAAGGGGGGGCGCATGTGAACCCTCCCACTGGGACCTTCGGTGGAACTCTCTAAAGGGCCACGAAACGTGTGAGTAGTGTGCCGAAACGGGCGTGACGCCCACATGCGATCTGTGCCACTGGGACCTTCGGTGGAACTCCCTATGGGGCCACGAAGCGTGTGAGGGGTGTGCCGAAACGGGCGTGAACGAAGCGTGTGAGGGGTGTACCGAAAATGGATTGACGCCCACATGCGAACTGCGCCACTGGGGACTGCGGTGGAGCTCCCTACAGCGCCACAAAAAGTGTGAGGGGTATGCCGAAACGGGCGTGACGCCCACATTTGAACAGCAGCACTAGGACCTTAGGTGGAACTCCCTGCGGGGCCACGAAGCGTGTGAGAGGTGTGTCGAAACGGGCGTGGCGCCCACATGCGAACTGCACCATTGGGACCTTCGGTGGAACTCCCCATGGTGACACGA